CGCCGGGTGTTTTTGCCCCGTTTTTTTTACTTCAGAATAAGATGTGCAGTGTGCATAGGAATTTGTTAATAGTTTTCTTTTAAAACTATAGTCCGGCCCTCCAACGGGTCTGAGGGACAGTGAACTGGCTCCCTGTTTAAAAAGTTTGAGGACCCCTGATGCGGCTTCCCAGTCTTGCTCCAACTGAAAAACAAACAAACAATGAAACTCACTACCATTGCATCCACTTGGGCGGGACCAGTGTGAGTTCAAAGCTCTCTACCGGCTCTGAAGCCAGGGCTGAGACAAAGGGGTGTGGTCAGGACCCTCCGCTCCTCGGAATCCCCCACACAAACCCCCATCGCGACCACCAGGATCCTTCTCCACCTCAGACTTGTTCCCCACGTATACCAGTTGAGGTCTTCCTTGGGGATCTGTGCCACCACCATCGAAGGGACCTTCTTCTTTTCTATTTCAGGCAACTTTTTATGTTCCCGTAACACGGAGAGCAACTGGCTTCTTCCTGAAACCTCTGCTTTCAAGTACCTGACCTTTCTGGCCGAACGTGTGCCTGCTGCGCCCACGACCCACAGAGGCACGGGGCTGCGGAGAACACGGGTGGGGGCAGGCACCTCGCTTGTTCAGCTGCACACTTCGGGGGTTTCTTTTTTTAGAAATAAAAGGCGTTCAGCCGAAAGACCACACAGCCCAGTAGGATGCAGCTGTATCATAGAAAGGGCTATGCTTTAAAAATGACATGGATTGTACATTTTAGCAGTTCAACCAATTGACACTGAAGCTGATTTTTCTCCATCAATTTTGAGCTTTCAGAGAGGAGATAGGAAAGGATGGGGGGGGGGCTGTATAGGGAGGGTTAGACTGATGGAAGCCTGCTCCTGCCCTCAGGGGCTGGGCAGAGACCTGGAGGGAATGTAGCACTTTGGGGCAGGTTTTTTTCTGGACTCCTCTCCTCTTTCGTCTTGAGGGTCTGGACGATGCAGACGCATTGGAAACCAGTTTCCTCCGGATATCATTCACTCAGGAAAGTCCGAGGTTTAAGTGATCTCTTTCTCCTTGAAAAATCACAGCAGTTTGCCACTAAGCCTAGGGGCCTCATTGTCCTAAGTGACTTTGCCTCCAATAAATCACTGCCCTAAGTAGCCAAAGAGAATGAGTTCACCCAGATCTCTGAAAGAAAAAAAAAAAAAAGACTGATTCTGCCCTGTCCCAATTATTAGCAGAACAGTCAGCTGCCATCTGCTAGTGTCACCTGTTAAGGCCACCAGCGGCCATGAATTCCACAGCTTTACCTCCAGAACCTGTCCCCTTGAACCATACATTTCACACCTATGTATGTTCTCATATACCCACCCACCTGCAAACTTTGCATGTATCGTGTATTTTCCGTCCCACATTCCAATCATTTGGTGACGGCATGCTGCCCTTGCTTTGAATGCCCTGCCCAGACACCTTTCCTGGGAAATATGCCCAGGTTGAGCGCTCACTAAACGGGCAGCATCCCTAATCCCCACCTCTCTGGCCACAGCTTATTAGACCAGAGGGATTTATCAGTTCGATTTAGGTTCGGTTTAAAATAATGGACTGCTCGAATAGTTACTTGAACAAGAGGGGCATGTATTTCCCTTTCACTAAAAAAGTCAGGCTATAAGCAGTCCAGGGCTGATGTGAAAACTCCATCATCTTCAGGAATCCAGGTTCCTCCTACCGGTTGGGGATGCCTTCTTAAGGGTGGCCTTTGTGCCCATGGTCCAAAGTGGCTGCCAGAGCACCAGCCGTCATATCAGCACATCCATGCTGTAGATACACGGATGAGAGAAAGCAATGCCCCTACATGCCCCACTGCCAGGACACCTTTCCAGAAAACGCACAGCGCCACTCTTACAGCTCACGACCCCAGAGGAAGGCTCTGGCCAACGAAGTGAAAGAAAGCCAACCACTTACAATTTCCCTCTTGGGAAAGCGCCGAACCATCTGTATTGTCTATAAGCTGATCACAACTGGAACCTTGCGCACGGAGTGTGTTCCAAGTTCTTCGACAGTTTTTCCAACCAATAAAACGTTTTAATTCTAACCGACTTACAGATCAAGTTTTCCTTTTGAAAGCTAAATTGGAAGGTTTTGCAT